CGATTAGGCTAAGGAAATTACTAACCTCGCCTTGAGTTATCTGGTTGTAGTCCGCCTACAGCTCAAATGCATAATGACTTCTCGATTATAAATCTCTTTCCATGGTTCGTTTGACATTCTGGAACTAGACAAGCGTGAAATGCACAGTTCTCGTTAAACGGACAATTGGTAATGAGCGTGATAACATAATAAAAGTGGAGGTTAGGAAAAATCCAGAATATTTTCTGTTATTTTCAGGAGTGATATAGTGTAAGAAATAAAACAGTCAACCTCTCGCTGTCACACCCTCGGGGATCAGCAGAAATGATTAATTTGCGGGAACTAAAACATATCCCGCCAATCAGTAGTATCTTCTTTTAAATAGTCTGAAAAGTTGAGTGAGATGTTTGTGATGAAACATAGAGAAGAACGTTAACAGCTACCTAAATTTCATTGCTTTTTTGTCGTTCTATTTTGTGTAATTACCTACTGTTTAGTAAAAACGGAATTCACAATACACATTTCCATGTAATCTTGCTGTATTGAAGAAATTTTTCTAACCCAATAACCGAATTACAATGAGAAATTCCACTCCATCTCTTTGCAATGGGGAATTTAATCGGTTTCCCCACTGTAGCGGAAAACACTTTCATGCAGAAACGAGAAAAAGGCAACAAAGAAGCAACAGTTTCCTTTATTTTACCGAGCTATTGACTAATGGTATCGATTGGTAACTTGGTGCATCGTGATTATTTTTGTGATGTAGACGTCTGACAATCCTTCAGCCCGGGTTCGCGACCCCCCTTGTGGCAAGGTGGATGCACATTGTTACTGCAATGCTAATTATGGGCACTGTGTCCGAACAGAGTCGGATTATACAAGTGTTTAGGAAGTGAGAAGTTGAGATCAAACAAAATCGATATGGGTCAACATAGTTTTGTAAAATAACAAAGCCAAGAAAGAAATAGATGACAGTTTTTTTACATTTAACGTGACTTGGGTCAACGCCCAGATATTTGCAAAATAGGACAGATTTGGACACGTTTATATGTAGAAACGCACATATCAAAAGGTTGAACACAACGACGGTTTTGGTGATATTGGCATCCGAAAAATACAGCACAGAGGATGGTATCCTGCGCGATTCATGCAGCAAAAATTCACGTACAGACCAATGCGTTTACGGTTAAAAAGTCAAAATGCCTGATATTGTCGACCTTCTCTCGCTCTGTGTGTGTGTGCACTCAGACACGACTAGCTGAACGAATGCTGTGTGAGTAACCATGAATGGGGCAATCGCTTTACACCAAGGTGAGAAATTAGACAGTGAAAAGGAGATTGGGACAATCCGCTTACTGCGTAGAGTTCAGGGTGGAGTATTGAGGAGAGTTCATTGTAGTCTGGTAGTCAAAGCCGAAAAACTTGGGATTTGTTTCCATAACTCCCCCTGTAATGTATGCCCAAAAACAGTTTGTTTATGTGGTCCTCGGATCGAAACCACATCCCGATGAAATTGGACTATCGGATAAACAAACTCGATTTGGTGACTTGTATGAAATTTCGCACTCGGTCCCGTTTAGCATTCTGGTTAGTTTACATTATGTTCTGTGGGACCACTTGGACAAATCTCTTGTTCACCTTTCGAAAGGACATCAGCATTGCTNCCTATCCCTGCCACTGAACTGAAGCAGGTTACTCGGTCAAGTGATCTTATATAAATTGAGAGTTGTGGGGAGTGATTTGATTATTTCGACGGATTTTGTTGTGTAGGGAACAAACGAAGCGTGGTCTACTGCAATCGGTAACTAGGCAAAAAAACACTTGGTCTCGGTTGATACCTCAAAAGCCTTCGATCGAGTTTGGCACGAAGGTCTACTGGCGAAACTACTCATATTCGAGTTCCCCCCGACTCTTATATCGTGGATATAAATTATCTGTACAAGTTGATGGGGATCTACCTCAGTTATTTCAGCGCTCATCCTCTTGCTTTCATTTATTAATGATCTTGTTACCGAAGACGCCACCCTCCATAGCTCTCTCTCTCTCTCTCTTACCGCACTGCTTGTCCAATATCCATTGTGAGCGTAGTGCAGTTAATGTGTGACTGTACTCGGACCTCGAACACATCTCCTCCTGGGGCAATGTCAATCATGTTTCATTCAATGCTTCTAAAACTTCCCCTCTTTCGTCTTCTCTGAACACCATTGAAGCTCCGCCAAATCATTTTTTGACTCCACTCAACTGCGTTCCTCAGACTGTTACCCTTCTTAGGTTGCTTATAACATCTTTATTCTGGTCCGTTTCATAACCTAACTTGCTTCTCGTGCTGTGCGCAAGGTTGTTTTTCGTTCCGCGCCAGACACTTCTTTACATCAGCTCATCTTCTTCTGTTGTGAAAAGCTGCAATTCACCCTGCTCTTGAATACTGAAGTCACGTGTAACCTAGGGTTTCGTCTTATCCACATTCTCCACTTGGTGATGATCCTTCCCTAACATCCGATCTAAAGCTACTAGCCCATTATCGGGTAGTTGCTTCATTGTCCCTGCATTATCGTTGCTAATTTGTTTTTGTTTTTCTTTGGAGCTTGCCTCGGCAGTGATTCTTCCCATGACTTTTGCCCGCCCATCCCGCATACAAGTATCTACTTATCCTTAACATATCTCAGGCACCAGATGTACTTCTTTTTCAAAAGCCGGTTGAGTTGCGGTAAACTCTCCCACTTTCAGTCTTGCCCCAA